AGTTTGCATAGTCTAATTTTTACTTTAACATATCCTATAACAGAAATGCATTTAACAAATTTATCATTACTTTTAATAAAATTACACAATTGCCCAAAAAAAGGTCCCATTTGATTAAAAGTGTTAATATAGCTTCACCTAAAAGCTTAAGCTTTTGGGCTGAAATGATTCTTTATATGGTATCAGAGCCTCGGTGTCACAGGTTTGATCCTCATTGTCCTGTCTTGTAGAGTTTCTTAGCATAAGTAAGTTGAGCCTGATGCATTGTTTACCCTTTGAGCCCAATGGACTCTCGTGTGAAGAGGCGTGTTAGATATATATAAAATCATTAATATAGCCTCAACCAAAAGCTTAAGCTTTTGGGTTGACATGGTTTTTTATGAAATGAGAGATGAAAATATATAGATGTTGTACCTAATATGCAAATATAGATGTTGTGTTGGCCATATAATACATGAACGCTGAATATTTAGCAAGCAAAGCTTGCTTAATAGTTGTTTAAGATAGGTCCCATATGTGCTAAATGTACCTAGTCTGTGATATAAAGCAGAGTTTGCTAGAAGGTTGGTATGTAGAATGGTTGCAAACTCTTAAAAAATAGCTCAGTGACTCATTTCACACAGACCACAAAGTAGTTCACAAAAATAGGATTTTATTCTAATTTAATTCTAATTGGCTCATGTTAATAAACGTGAATTCGTTGAAACCAGCATACAACATCTTTAGTAGGTTCAAATCACATGTCGCATTATGGTTGTTTGCTCAGGTTAAAAAAAAAAGATGAGGGTAAAAAAGTGTGATAGAAAGGTTTTTTATTTTTATTCATTGTTGTCTAATGAAGGATGAGTAACATTAGTTACATGAATACCACAAAAGTTAACAAAATTGGCTGAATGTTAAAAAAATGAAGACAACTAAATCATATTATGTCCAATATATTCATGATCCATTTGATGCTGGTACAACTTCCACCATTTTGATGCTGCAAGACTCTTGGTGAATCAGAAGGAAATATGTTCATGATCCAACAAGTAATCATCAAATCCCTTTTCTCCATCCATTAATATATTGAAATCCTGCATCATAAACAGTCTTACATAAAATGTTGTGAATAAGACAAAACTTAAGTGTTTTCATTTTAGACCAAAACGATGGAATTAAACAAAGAAAGATGGAGCAGATTTGAATCAGGTTAGACAATACCGATGGAATTAGAAAACCATTTAAAGAAAGATAAAATGGGAAGTGTTAATTTCTCTTAAAAATTAAACAAATACAAGAATATTTGATCATGCCTGTTTAACCAATATCACTCACTATGTCATGTAAAGTACCAAAAATATCCTCCTCGGTGAGTTCTTCTTGGGGCTGCAAAATGTAGGCATCATTTGACTTCATTCCTGCATCTAAATAGGATTTATCAACTTTTGTGGATTGGGTGATTGAGCCAGGAAAGTTAGAGGAAACCACATATCCATTTGACCCATCAATTGAACTAAACTGCTCAAAACTAGTTATACAGTTGCTCTGCTGAAATTGGTTAAACTCGATTGAGTTTGGAATTCCCTGTGATAAACTTGAGCTTTGATTTGCAGAAAACATGCACGGCTGGATGTTTCTGGAGTTGTTTATATTTTGTGTCTCAATAGATTGGACCGGTGCAGAGGGACCGATTCTTCTTGATCCAAATAAGGTGTCAAAATTTCCATATCTATCTATTGAATTCATTTGCACGTAAGAATCACTACAACGTGACGCAGCAACCATGCAAGCTTGTTGAGGTCTTCTTGAGGCAGCCAAGTTTGTATTTCTGCAATACAAAATAAGAGTGAGCTTATGCACTGTTATCGCAATACAAGTTATGGATTAAATTTATTCATTTTTTATGGATATTGATATTTCCTAATTAACTTTGTTCAAAATTTTAATAAACCATTAGTTTTAAACCATCATTTGTTTAAAGTTAAAAAGTATATTACCCCTTCAACTTTGATCATGTGCCAAAATTGAAACCGAAGGGGTCTATATGCCAAAAAGTAGAGATCATTTGTATTTTAAGCATAAACAGTCCAAAAATTTATGATAAATGAGGAATTTAAAATTCATACCAGCAGATGGCTTGCTACATTTTCTCTTGTAAGACCTACAACATTCATCAAGTGAAGTATTTTCTTAGGAACTGCCTCTACAAAAACTATAACACCTCACAATTTTAAATTAAGTAATTGAAATATTAAGTGAGTAATTAAGTGAAGAATTAATGAAAAACCTAAAGATTAGGCCAAAATACAAAGAAAGGGCAAAACGGTAATTAGCCAACACGCAACCCTAGGAAGGTAAAAATTGAGTAGAAGGTCTCAGATGATAAAAATAACCCTGGAAATGGATTCAGAACGAAAAATTGAGTGGATAAGCAAGTTTCAGAAAAATCAGTGAATACTATTTTTCGCGGGTAAAAATATCGTGTTACGATTGCACCGTAAAATGTGCCAGTTGAGTTTTGAGCTCTAGGTTTCAAATATGATCTATAAATGGTCTATAGAACTAGGAAATATGATTTCTGATAATATTTGACGGAATTGAGTCAGTTTGGGGAAGCGTGCCAACGGCGCGCGCAACAGCTTAAAACAGTATTTTCTCCGAACAACCGAAAAACTCCGGATTCATCTGATCAAGCATAATTAAAGGAGAATAGTTAATGTTAAAAATTAGAATTTCTAAATAAGTTTTGAATTTAAGGACGTATAGTGACAGTTCGGACGAGTTTTAAATCGCGTGAGGTGGCGTGGGACCCACCCCACTTAAAATTCACTTAAGTTCACATCACCTCTCCACTATTCATCATCTCCTCACTCTTCCCTCTTTCCCAAAACCTGCGCTCAGCCCTCCTCCCCGCTCCTCCATGCAAAAAATTTCTTCTCTCCTTTAATCACACAAATCCTAACCAAATCCAACAAAGTTTGACTTGAATCTTGTTGGAAATTGTCTCCTAAAGCCATTGGTGGCATTATTAAACCATGAAAGTGAGTAAATTTTGAGATCCTTCCCCCACAAGGCCGCGGCTCACCTTGAGAAAAGTGTGTTCATAGAGCTTTTACTTGCTCCAATGGTGGAGTATGCTTAGGAGGGACCTTATGCCTAGTCTTTGAGTGAGTTTCTACACCCTTTTAATTGTTGATTTTTGTGATTTGATTTTGAGACCTAAAGCTTTGATTGATGATGTGTTGTGTTAGGGAGCTCAATTGGAAAATGTGTATTAGATGATAATGTCTTAGAATGACGTATTAAAGCTAGAAATGCAATGAAAATTTTAGGTGAAAAATGTTGATTTTAACTTAGGAAAATTTTGAGTGCTTATGATGTGGAAATTTGGAAATGTGTTGAGATGTTAGTAATGAGTTGTTGAATGATTATATGATGATAGTATTAGATTGTGGTGGAGTGGAATGATTGAAAATGGAAAATTCCCTAGGGCATAATTCGGCCATTGTGAGAAAAAATGAGTAATTGTGTTGGAAAAATAATTTGGATGATGTTTTGTGTAATCATATGGTAATTAGATGGGTTGTGTGGTGGTTGGAAGGTTGGAAAACCAATAGAAAAATAATTGTAAGTGTTAAGTGTGGAAATTGCCTAGAGTGAATTATTAAGCAAACTGATGCGTAAGAGACGTAAAACGGAAAAACGACACTTGAACTAGCCTCATGGCAACCTAAGGAAGTATAATAAAATGAGAAAGAAAATTTAGAAAAATAAATCTCAAAAATACACTTGTTTGGCCGAACCCCCCAAAGAGAAGGGGAGGATTTCGTGTTTTTTGTGCTTTGACGTAATTTGACATTTACTGATGGTTGTACGTGGTTATATAGGTTGCCGTACGTCGACTTGAATCCTGAACAGTGAATCAGTGGATTGCCCTTGGTCCTGGACCAAGTGGATTGAGGTAAGTGATTGAATCAATGCATGTATAATTGTGAATTAGCATGTATTGTTTGAGTTTTGAGTGATTGGGAATGTCCTCTGTGTAGGAATTCTGTTGTGTACCAAGTTGTGAAATAAGCTGCTGCAGAGCTAAAGGAAAGAAAAAATTAAGGTAACCTCTTGGTACTGGGGCTTGTTTCCCTTTTCTGTTCCACCTTGCCAGTTGATGGCAACGGTAGGAAGTGTATATGAGTAGTGTAGAATAACATGAGCATGCATGCATTTATCACAGTGGGTACTTATGTACCGAGTCTCTGGCCAGTAGACAATTAGCCTTTGGGCAGTTTCAGACTTCCACTGGATAGGTCTCCGAGAGGGAGTTCCAGATCACCTAGGGTCGTGGTGTGTGATCTGGATAGGAGCACACTAGGAATGTCTCGGGTGTTATGGATGGTTGGGGCATCATGGTTGTGGTTCTTGGAACGCACCTTGGATGATACCCGTAGGGTTATATATGCCGAGGACATTGCGTGGTATTCGTAGCTACCATCCCGCTTCGTCGTATTTTATATCCCGATATTCCCCAGTTTCTCTAAATCCCTTGCTTTATCCCGTTTTGAAAGTGGTTGTTTTATACTATTGATATGCATCGAAGTGAACCATTGGGCGGAGTTTTCTCCAGAACCTCTAGGTTACTGAGATATATTCGTATATCTCACCCCGTCTCGGGGCATTTATTTCAGGAGGTAGCAGTGGAGCTGGAGCAGAGGGCAAGAGGCCCGCAGAGTGATCAGTGGAGTGCTTTAGTATTTTGCATTTTGTTGGCCATGTGGCCTAGGCTAGACTTAGTGCATGAACATCTCATATGTACGTAGGATGAGTTTCTTTTGCATATTTGTTCATATCATTTTGCCTAAGTCTAGTAGTTTATGTTATTCAGTTTATGTTGTAATTTGTATTTAAGTTGTAATATCGGAAGATTGTAAGTTTAAGTTTAAGTTTTAAGTTGTAAATTGTAAGTAAATATTGTAATTGTACTTGATGCATGACATGATATGATGGAAGGGCTTTAGGCCTATTTTAGGTTATGAGTACTTGTATGATGAAATATGCATGAAATTGGAATTAGTGATTGAAACTATGTATGGATTTTAAAGTAAGCTATTGGTGTAATAAATATAAACTGGATTGGGTTTTAAGTGCCTCAAGGCGTTGTTGGTCCTTGTGTGTGCCACCCATTGGATTATTAATGGATTATTATTGGATTATTAGGTACCTTTGAGGCATTAGTGAGCTTGTACAATTTGGGGATTTTAAGGAAAAACAAAGGAAACTCTGGCGAATTTTCTGTAGAATTGGCATATTTGAACGAACTTCGGGAGGGCATATCTCCCTCCACAGAGGTCCGATAGGGACGTTCCATACGCTGTTTTGAAGCTTGTTATGTCCCCTACATGGTTTCAAAATATTATAATTTTATATTTTGTGCGAAGCCCTGTGGAGGTTAGTGAACACAACTGCCCTGTTTTGCCCTGCACTTGGGGGCTGTTCTGGCCCAGTTTTGGGAAATTATGTCCCGCTTCGTTTCTCAGTCAAATTAAGCGTATGATATATCAAATTGAAGGTTGAGGTGTTTAGTTTGTAGCATAAAATTTGAGAGCAATTGGATGAGTGAATTTTCTGCAGTAATTCGTGGAGTGAGAGAGGTTTTGAGCTGTTTTGGGGTTGGTTGGCTGCTTTGCTTATCCAACTTCAAACGGCGATAGCCGGAGCAAACAAGCTCCGATGGAAGCGTGTGATAGCTTATTAGAAAGGAAATTAAGTAAGAAAAAAATATAAACTGAGAAGAAGGTCTGGTTGTGAGCGATGTGTTCGCAGAAAATTAATTAGTGAACCATGTTCAAAGGAGTAAAAACGTAAAATTGAGTAATTGGCTAAGTGGGTTTATAGGGACCCCTTAGTAACTTATAATAAGTAAAGTAAGAAGTAAAAGTAGTTAAAATAAGAGTTCCGCAAAAGTTTTCAGTTACGGTCACAGCTTTTAATTATTACGCTTTTTATTGTTTTAAATGCTCGCGTAATAATCGGAAAAAGTTTATTCACATTTTTATAAATGAATTGCTGTGATTGTAACTACGCTTAATATCATATTAATATTAACAATACCGGTGTACAACAGGCTGTTACAATAACAGTTGAAGAAAGATCATATTAGAAATGTCAATATCCATGTTGAGGTATCAAGTTCACATTATAAGTTCAATTTTCACATGTCAAACAAAAAAGGAAAATTAAATATTCATTACCATGTAAACTCACTATCAATGCCCAGTGAATTGACTGCAGCAAGAAATTTTCTTTGCAAGTCATCATTCCAATTTAAACGAGGCTTCTTTTGATTTGAAGGTTCCTCATTCTCTTTTGCATTCATTTCACCATTTTCTTCTTCCACACACGGTTCCTTCCTTTTCTTACCATGCATTTGATTATGGTCAGCATTACTTTCTAATGTGATGCTTTGACTACCTTCCCTAGCTATATTGCATGCTTTCTCCTCATTGAAGTGCGTAATTTGACCTTTGCAATCAATCTTTCTTCGCGCTATATGTTGCCATATATTCTGCAGTACTTGGATTCGAGGAGGTTTAATTATATAGTCACATGCGCCAAGTATAACACTTTTCTTCACGTACTCTATATCACTCAATTCTGACAACACTAGATCACAAAAAAAAAAACAATGAAATAATAAATATCAGTAATCTCATAATAAGGAGAAGTAAATATCTTGTTGAATACATGCTAAGACAAGAGTATTTGAGCTTACTTATGACAGGTATGTCCATTTCATGTCCCACTATCTCTAGTAGCTTAAGTCCATCCATGTGTGGCATATTTACGCCAGTAATGACGAGGTCAAACATATTTCTATTTGTCCTCAACATATCTAATGCCTTAATTGACTGAATAGTTGTAGTAACTGCAACAAATATAAATCAGATGTTAGATTTATTCAGCATCGTAAAAGTTAAAGACCTCCTGCTATATCAAAGTATATCAATTCTCTCAATAACAAATTTATAGTTCTCACAGTAATGGGGTGTAAAGAACTTCTTATTACTCATACTTGAATTCCCAACAATATTTGGCAACACAAGAAAATAACTTTTTAAAATATTCTAATTTCAAAAGAAGTTTCAACTTTAGAAGATTTAAGAAAACACTCGTCTTGCAAAGAAAGAAATTCTGAGTTGAAAATTTAGAAAATTGTCAAGTGATGTATATATAAGCGACAGGACACAATATCTGTCAACAGATTTAAAACTTTAGAGTGGCAACGAACTATATGTTCAGTTTATCACTACGCAAAATAAAGCATGACCCCACAAGCAAAATTCAATGCAGTTGATCACCAAAAAATCAATGCAGACTCGAATTAAGTGAATAGGAAGAGAGAGGTGACAAACCCTGATACTGGCATTTGCGAAGCATGTTCCCTAACACTTTGAGACAAAGTTGATCATCATCAACAAGCAAAACACGCATACCCACTGGAAAATGGTCTCCAACCCCATCTTCATCTATCAAATAGTTCTCCAGAGTCATCTTGAACCAGAATAAACACCTATATGAGAAACCAAGCAATGGTCAGATATCACAAATCACAGAGCAAAAAGCCCAAACTTTGACAACATAAACCTTATTTTTAATTTACCAAAAACAAAAAACCTCGTTTTTAGGGCCTCTTTCACCTAACATACAAACAATACATGACAAAAAATAAAAGGAGAAAGAGAACACAGGAAAATACTTGGAAAGTGATGGTAACTATTAGAGAGGAGAACAATAGATACCTATATGCAAAACCAAGCAAAGATTAGATATCACAAATCACACAGAAAATGCTCCAAACAAAAACAATTAAAAGAAACCTTGTTTTCAGGGCTGTCTTTAACCAAACAAAGAAACAATGCAACATGAGAATTAAAAGAAAAGAAAGAAAGAAACAGAAGAAAAGACTTGGACAGTGATGGTAACTAGTAGATAAGAGAACAACAGACACCTGTATGCATAACCAATCAATGATCAAATATCACAAAATCACAAAGAAAATGCACCAAACAAAAAGAATTAAAAGAAACCTTGTTTTCATGGCTCTTTAACCAAACAAAGAAACAATGCATTATATAATTTATTAAAAGTAAGTATATTTTAATATGCAAATTTTGAATATAAGCTAACTTCTAAAAATATTCTTTTATCCGCGAATGGTCATTGGTACAAAAGAAAAAAATCGGTATTGTGTTTTTACTGAGTTGGTTTCAACCTAATCAACGTGGCGGAGGTAGAAATTTTAATGACGAGGCAAAAAAAATATATTATATTATAAATAAAAATACTTGAAATATAATACAAATATAATACAAAGCAAATCTTTGAACAAATCAGACTCCATTTAGCATACATAATCAAAATCAAATGCACGGTTAACAAATTAAACTCACTGCGGATGAACAAAACAAAATGCAATCACTTTACCATTCAGAAAACTAAAGTAATCCACTGACAAATAACAAGTAGCATGAATATGAGCAAAGTGTTCTAGCAAGCTACAATGAAGTCCAAAACTGAAAATATAAAAAAAAAAAAGAGTAATGAAAGCATTAACGAGAATTAATGGAAAACAAAATTTTAATATTCATGGTTGTCTTTAAAAAAAGAATTAACGAGAATTAAAATAAAAAAGAAGAAGAAAGAAACAGAAGAAAATACTTGGACAATAATGGTAACTATTAGAAAATAGTGAAGGGTTTAATTCAATTCAATTCAATTCAAACCAATAATGGAAAACACAATTCATACAGTGAAACTCTCTTCCTCTTTGTCAGCTGCCAAAGGCTTTGCTCTGTCTTATTTTTTATTTCTCTTATCTTTTTTGTTTGTTTAAGTACATTATGTCGTTAACTTTTGATTCCAATGCGAAAGATATCACAAGACACAAGGAAAATGCTCAGAACATTGACAACAGAAATCAAATCTTGTTTTCAATTTACAAAACAAAAAAATAAAAAAAAAAAGAAACCTTGTTTTCAATTTACAAAACAAACAAGAAATAAAAGAAACCTTGTTTTCAATTTAAATTTATATTAATCTACTTAATTGCCTCATTCATCAATTTGCACTCAAGAGAGCCAAGAGGTCTTTCCTGGTCTTCTACGAAGGAGATTTAATTTTACAATCAATTTGTTGATATTGTTTATAATAATCTACTTTCCATATTTATATTCTCAGATTTATATTATAAAATTTTGCCAATCTAGTTTCCTAAAAAGGCCTTATTTATATCAATAATCATTTAAATATTTTTGAATTTTGTAAGATTTCAAAACATGATTCTGATTTATAAAGTGATATTTTAAAATTATTGTATTTTTTTTTTGGAAAAAATGTTTGTCATTTTAAGAGAGAGATAACACAAAATAATGTTTTTTATTTAAAATTTAAATTAAAAAAATCACTCACTCTTACTCCTGTTTTCGATTTACAAAACAAACAAGAATTCAGAGAAACCTTGTTTTCAATTTACAAAACAAACAAGAATTCAGAGAAGAATGTATACCAAAAAAAAAAAAGAATTCTCCAAATTTATATTAATGTGTTTAATTTGCTTAATTTGTTTATATTGGTTAATAAAGTTTCCAAATTTATATTAATGTACTTAATTGCCCCATTCATCAATTTGCACTCAAGAGAGCCAAAAGGTCTTTGCTGGTCTTCTAGGAAGGAGATTTAATTTTACAATCAATCTGTTGATATTGTTTATAATAAGGATTTATATTCTCAGATTTATATTATAAAATTTTGCCAATCTAGTTTCCTAAAAAGGCCTTGTTTATATCAATAATCATATAAATATTTTTGAATTTTGTAAGATTTCAAAACATGATTCTGATTTATAAAGGGATATTTTAAAATTATTGTATATTTTTTTTTTGTAGAAAAATTTATTGTACATTTATTATTCGGGATTAGTGTTTGTTTTTTTTTCGGTGAATTGTATTTGTCCTTTTAAAATGATAGAATTGTGTTATTTGTAGAAAAAATTATTATACATTTTTAGTGTTTGTTTGTTTTTTTGGTGAATTGTATTTGTCCTTTTAAAATAATAGAATTGTGCTATTTTACTCAAAACTACTATTTTATAGTGAAAGAAACAGAAATCGTAGAGAAATAAAATTATAGATTTATTTAATTTAAATATTTAATAAAAAGTAATAATTCAAATTAACATGGCTGCTTTTTAAAAGGATAAATATTTTTTTCTTATTATTAATAATAAAAAATTTACTATTGACTTTTTTTTCTCTTTTTGACCGAAAAATCAATCCTTTTTTGGTGTGTGTAGATACCGAAAGAAGAAGAAAGATTAATAATGAATAATAAAAATATTTCTTTTATGATTCTTTTATAATATATTCTCAACATGTCGCTAGTTTGTTGCTTGGGACATTGAGTATGTATAATGATGGATTTTATTTTGGGTAGAAACTTACGATGGCTCTCTGCATACGTAAAATTAAAATGGACAAAATGGACACTATAATGAAGGAAATAAAACAACGACATTTGACCTCACATTTGGGAGTCAATCAACTTAATGAAATATAAAAGTACAAAGAACATACTCCCCTAAAAGGTTACATCAAATTTAAAATTTAAAATAATAATAATAATAATAATAATTTGTCACTCTTGAAACCATTCCAGCCATATAAAGGATGTTTGGCATTGATTCTGAAGACAGTATAAGAAACTGATAAACAACTACTATGAAAGCCTATACCACCTTTTATTAAATCTTCATTCATATGTGACAGTAGCAATATCCTTATTGGAAACCATTTCAACCTTAGGAGACCAGAATACCTCTTTGAACCAGCTGAAGAAGAAGGGAAGAAAGCCTCTTCTTTGCAGAAACATAAGTTCCTTTCTCAAGTGATGGTCTTTGCATTTTGGACCTGGCCTTTGCTGAACTTGTAGGTGCCATGTACCTTGGAAGGGCAGGTGAGCTTGCAAGGCTCTCATCATTTCTCACTGAAGATCCTGCAATGCTAATGTCTGCGAAAACGTTCTGACTGAACACTTAACATGCTTCTCTAGTCATCGTCGCCACCCCAAGCACTACCTTTTGAGCTTGATGGCCTAGCCTTTCCAGTAGTAGATGACAAAGATGGGGCCTTTGAAGCTGGTGTTGAAGGGGAATTGTGGGTGGAAGGTCTTTTTCCTTTTTGGCCAAGAGAGGAAGCTTTGTTATCATGATTATGGTAATGGAGAGAATGCAATTTGATGATTTCCCCAACAGACATGGTATGGCTTGCAACACTCTTTATAGATGCATGATCATTGTGATCCATACTGCTTCGGCTCTCCCATGGCGGCACAACCATCCATCTCTCTAACCAATTCCAGCCCCATTGGGGATTTTTGGATCCATAAATGTTGGATTTACTGATTTTGAAGAGTTCTTCCATGTTTGCAGTTAGATGATTAGTTATACATAAAATAAATCACTTATATTCAATATAATACAAGTGCATCAATGCATTTTCATCTCTTTCACATATTTCATTTAAAAAGAACAATTCAATAATGCCTTGATGATATATATATATACATATATATATATATATATATGGGGAAAGATCCGTTTACAAACTTTTTTTTACAAATTACATTAAATATGACCGGTCATACACTCTTGATTGAAGTATAACCGGTCATACTTAGTGTAATTTGTAAGAATTTGTTAACAAAAAATTTGTAAATATAATTTTCCCCCGTATATATATATATATATATACAATTTAAACAAGTCCTGGTTGGTGATAGTTTCATGTTTGACCTGATACCATATTAACTGTTGTCAGTTGTCACTTGTCACCAAGTATCTATCTTGCCTATGTAACAACCTTGAATCCAATGACTATTTTATAAGATCAGCAAGCATTGGCCAGCCCTGACTAGTAACATTCATATGTAAATCAGTCTAATTAATGGGATTTCATTTATCTTGAATTGTGTATAGTGCCATCAGAAATACATTAATATTTAATCCCCAGAGTAATATTACGGAACTATACCATACTAATATCTATTTCCCTAGGCATATCTGTAAAATGACTTGAAAAAAGTCATTCTCCCAATTCATGTTTTTATCTTCACTTATGAATTTCTTTCAAACCTTATCTTAGCTAATTTCACTATATTTGTCTTCTAGAATTTTTCATACACCATTGTTAACTATCTTTAGCTATTTTGTGAATAATTAGTTAATTACAAATGTAAATAAAGAAATTTGTCTGCTAATATATTAATTCCAAGCCACCATAATTAACATTTGCTCAATTTTACTTCTAATACTCTCTTTTTTTTGGAGGGGAGGGTGTTAAGAAAATGAACCACAACTGATGTAGAAATATCAAAATGGATTTATTTTTGCACAGGCTTTTAGTAAGAGACTTAAATTGATTGAATCCAGAATTAATTAATCTCTATTCGATTAAAATCCAAAATAAAAATAAAATAAAACCATAAATGAGGTAGTC